ACGTAACAGTTCATTAATCTTTTCTTTTTTTTCTCTTGCTCCAAGTCTCTTCTTCATCTGTGAGGAGATTGTCCAGCATTCACTGTCATATAGAAGGACTGGTATTGCGTAACAGTTCAGTACTCTTTTCTTTGTTTCTGTTGCTTCAAGTCTCTTCTTCATCTGTGAAGAGATTGTCCATCATTCACTGCCATATAGGAGGACTGATATTACGTAACAGTTCATTAATCTTTTCTTTGTTTCTGTTGCTTCAAGTCTCTTCTTCATCTGTGAAGAGATTGTCCATCATTCACTGCCATATAGGAGGACTGATATTACGTAACAGTTCATTAATCTTTTCTTTGTTTCTCTTGCTCCAAGTCTCTTCTTCATCTGTGAGGAGATTGTCCAGCATTCACTGCCATATAGGAGGACTGATATTACGTAACAGTTCATTAATCTTTTCTTTGTTTCTCTTGCTCCAAGTCTCTTCTTCATCTGTGAGGAGATTGTCCAGCATTCACTGTCATATAGAAGGACTGGTATTGCGTAACAGTTCAGTACTCTTTTCTTTGTTTCTGTTGCTTCAAGTCTCTTCTTCATCTGTGAAGAGATTGTCCATCATTCACTGCCATATAGGAGGACTGATATTACGTAACAGTTCATTAATCTTTTCTTTGTTTTCTTGCTCCAAGTCTCTTCTTCATCTGTGAGGAGATTTCAATTCTCAGTTCAGTACTCATCTTTGAAGAGATTGTCCATCATTCACTGCCATATAGGAGGACTGATATTACGTAACAGTTCATTAATCTTTTTCTTTGTTTCTCTTGCTCCAAGTCTCTTCTTCATCTGTGAGGAGATTGTCATCTGTGATAGAAGGATTGTCCTCTTTTTCATTGTTTCTGTTAGCAAGTCTCTTCTTCATATAGGAGGACTGATATTACGTAACAGTTCATTAATCTTTTCTTTGTTTCTCTTGCTCCAAGTCTCTTCTTCATCTGTGAGGAGATTGTCCAGCATTCACTGTCATATAGAAGGACTGTTCAGTACTCTTTTCTTTGTTTCTGTTGCTTCAAGTCTCTTCTTCATCTGTGAAGAGATTGTAACAGTTCAGTAACAGTTCTTTCTTTTTTTTTTCAAGTCTCTTGTTCATCTTCAAGTCTTCTTCATCTGTGAAGAGATTGTCCATCATTGTCAGCCACTATAGGAGGACTGATATTACGTAACAGTTCATTAATCTTTTCTTTGTTTCTCTTGCTCCAAGTCTCTTCTTCATCTGTGAGGAGATTGTCCAGCATTCACTGTCATATAGAAGGACTGGTATTGCGTAACAGTTCAGTACTCTTTTCTTTGTTTCTGTTGCTTCAAGTCTCTTCTTCATCTGTGAGGAGATTGTCCATCATTCACTGCCATATAGGAGGACTGATATTACGTAACAGTTCATTAATCTTTTCTTTGTTTCTCTTGCTCCAAGTCTCTTCTTCATCTGTGAGGAGATTGTCCAGCATTCACTGCCATATAGGAGGAGATATTGTCCAGTTCATTCACTTGTCAGTCTCTTCTTCATCTGAAGGAGATTGTCCATTGCATATAGGAGGACTGATATTCGTAACAGTTCATTAATCTTTTCTTTGTTTCTGTTGCTCCAAACCTCTTCTTCATCTGTGAGGAGAGTCCAGCATTCACTGTCTTTATAGAAGGATTGTCCATCATTCTTTTCTTTGCCAGTCTCTTATCTGTGAAGATTGATCATTCACATATAACAGTTCATTAATCTTTTCTTTTGTTTCTCTTGCTTCAAGTCTCTTCTTCATCTGTGAGGAGATTGTCCAGTATTCAATGAATATAGGAGTAACAGTTCAGTACTCTTTTCTTTTGTTACTGTTGCTTCAAGTCTCTTCTTCAGTTCAGCAGTCATATAGGAAGTGCTGATAACACTTTTTTTTTCTTTTCTTTTGTTTCTCTTTTGCTTCAAGTCTCTTCTTCATCTGTGAGGAGATTGTCCAGCATTCACTGCCATATAGGAGGACTGATATTACGTATTCAGTTCAGTCTTTCTTCATCTTTTTTTTTTCTGTTGCTTCAAGTCTTTTCTTCTTCATCTGTGAAGAGATTGTCCAGCATTCACTGCCATATAGGAGGACTGATATTACGTAACAGTTCAGTACTCTTTTCTTTGTTTCTGTTGCTTCAAGTCTCTTCTTCATCTGTGAGGAGATTGTCCAGCATTCACTGCCATATAAGAGGAAAGATATCACGTTCAATACTCTTTTCTTTGTTTCTAACGAAATTTTTCGGTCTCTTCATATTCTGTTTAGCTTTTGAAATGCATCCTTATGGTGCCATTGGATCATATGATTTAAGTCATGGCAATTACAGGTGAAAAATAATATCGCCCAAATGTCCGCCAAATCTGAAAAACAAACTTAAAATTTAAACTTAAAATTAAATTTAAAATCCGTCCAAGTTATTGGAACACCCTTTATTTTCCATACTCCAGCCTCTATCTCTGTGGCAAGCCTCTCACTTCTCTGTCGCTACTACCATGGAAAGTGCTCGGACGAACTGTATCTCCTGGTTCCATCAAGTGTGACCTTCACGGCTAGGACCCACCATACCACTCACGTAATAACAAACCACCCTCATTCTCTCTGTATTCCATCGGCAAGAAGTAAGTTCCATTCGAACAGCTTCTTCCTGCAAACCACTACGCTGTGGAATCAACTCCCAAGGGGATGTTTCCCCGATCACTACAATCTCTGTTCAAGTCTAGAGTTAACCGTTATGTTGCTCTCTTACCCGTTAACGTAACCCTCTACCTCAAGTGGCCCCCGGGCCTTACTGTAAAATCCGGGAGAGAGCCCTACAAGGTAGAAGTACAAGAGACGAAACTATGACAATTGAACTTACGGGATCATCGAATCAATGTGCTTTACTAGGGATGCTATAGTTTTGAATTCAGAGTTTTTCTTTCTTCTAGACTGGTTGCCAGTCAAGGCTATAGAATCCAGTCTGTCCTGCTATTTACCCATAACTGGGGTGGAAAGAAAAGATGGATTCATACATTTCCCAAGTGAATGTAATGAACTCGACTGGAATTCGAACTCGGCTCTCCGATTCCTCAGTCCGAGCTGCAATCCATTACTCTACCGGGTCTTCTTACAGTCACATCAGTAAAGTGATGAAACCTAAAAAGGACAATAGAAGAACAGTTATCAAGAAGATAAAAGATGGCGATTGGCATTGCCTTCACATTTTTGAAGATTATAGGTAGCAGGGAAGAAAAAAATATCGGATGACAGTTCCACGGGCGAGAAGCGCGAGAAGAAAAAAATCTTAAAATAGAACATACGGTTACATACGGAATAATTGCTATGAAATTATTTCTAGAAAAGGTACAGGGCGACTGCGTTACGGCGATGGGAATGTAACTGAATCCGAGATGCCAGTTCAGGGTTAATAAAATTGCAGATTATTCTTTAGATTTTATCAAGAATCTCTAAATATAACAGAAACACCAGACCAGATGAGGCAGCAATATTCAAAGAATGACCGAATTGTAGAGTTATAAATTACCATAAAAGTATTTATAGAAAAGGCATCGGGAAGGTGCGTTAAGGCGGTGTGGAAATGGTTGAAACCGAGATGTCAGGTCAGGACCAATAATATTGCGGATTTCTCTTTTGACTTTGCCAAAAATCTTGAATTATATACAGAATGCTGTAAACCGAATCTTCATTCAACCGTAGTAGTCATTACGAAATCTTGGGGTGGTGTGCCTGTGTTTTCGTTCATTTATAAATTCTACGCAGTAGCATCGAGAGTTCGGAAGAAGGCTTCTCACCAGTGAATCGGGAATGAACATTTTGACGCCCAACTACCGAATTAAATAAAGGTTCCACTGGACATTAATGTAAGTTTCTCCACAGAAGTATCTTTGTCCAGTACCATCTGACCATTCGTTGGCAATTAAGCCCAAAACAACTTTAACGTTACCTCATAATAACGTAAACTGGCGGATAACATGAAAAGTAAGCATCTTACTTATTATAAAACGATTGATGTGTGTGTGATGTGTGTGTGTGTGTGTGTGTGTGTGTGTGTGTGTGTACGTTTATATATTGGATCGGATTTCCTACATTTTCAACCGATTTCAACAAAACTTCACAGGACTATATAAAATTACCTTGCGGTGGTTCTAACATATATTAAAAAATGGAAAAAACACAATTGTTTTTGCACGAAATCAATTTGAAAACACGATTAAGAGTCATCATTGACGCGAGAATGAAAGGGGACAACTCATATCGAGTTATACTTATTATAAAACCCAGGTTGTTTTGTGTGTGTGTGTGTGTGTGTGTGTGTGTGTGTGTGTGTGTGTGTGTGTGTGTATTTTTATATGGGATCGGATTTCCTATTTTTTTCAACCGATTTCAACAAAACTTCACTTTTTTTGGCAGGTAGTGTTTCTTATTGTCTTGCACACTTTTTTCTTTATTTTTACATTCAGAATGCTTTAAAAATTCCATTTACAAGACAATTGTCGATAATAAAATTCTATACAATCGGTAGAATCATAACGATTAAAAACAACGTTTTTGTTTGAGTTTGACCAATTCGTAAAAAAAAAAAAAAAAAAACTAATTAAGACATGCGTCTCCGTCAATCTTAAACAATAATCTTTGTCAATTTTATTTTTCAGTCTTTATGATGGTCGATACTTGATCTATCTCTTACTGTTATATCCCCGGGCAACGCCGAGCACTACTGCTAGTATACGATATACCAACCTTATTAAAAGCTACTACTTACGTCATACCTAGATAAGGCACGTGAAAAGCGAATCGGATAAAATTTGGTTGTACTGGCTTTTATGCAAACTTACCGAGCAAGTCGTTCTGGTACTATACCAGAATTTCACTTATGGATTCCATTATCATTTTTTTTTAACCATTCTTTCTGTTATAAACCTATATCGTCAGTTTAAACTTACATCTTTTCCTCCATATATCTAAACTTACGTCTATATCATGTGGAAACACCGGTTCTCGCACGATCACCGAGGTTAAGCAACGCCGAGCCTGGTCAGTACCTGGATGACCGCTTGGGAATACCAGGTGCTGTAAGCTTGAATGTGCGGGCGGTGTAATGGGTAACGGCTCAGAATTGGAAATCGGCGAGCCGAGTTCTAATTCCAGTCGGGTTTGTTATATTTACACACTCAAATACCCTAGGAAAAGGATTGAATCCACCTCTCCTTCAATCAGCTTTGTGTTGATTAGCAGGACTTGCTTCTCTAAATCTTATCTCCAAAAAGTCTTTACAGGCTAAAGAAATATTTTCTGACTTGTGAAAAAGCTTGATAAGCCGTAAAAAACAAATCAATCCATCAATCATAAAGTATAATTTTAGAAAAGGCTAGACGATCCCTATTGCAGACACTTGCTCAGGCGCATTTGTGTTTATTCAACACCCAGAGAGCTCACTTGTGGTTTATACTGCAATTATGCTGAGCAGACTTTAATTACAGTTTCTGGGAAAGAACGTGTTTTCTACCGTGATCAACAATTTGAACAAGGCCATCATTTGTGACATGTAGTGATTTTAATATGTTTTTATTATAATCATAATAAAAACATGTTGAAATCACTACACAAAAGATTTCATGTTTCAATACTTTGATTGTCCTTCTTCAGGAGATGGTAAGTAATTTGCGATTAAATGATTTTTACGGAAATTTAAAACAAAGTGTTATCTCTTTTCCGAAAGTTAAAGCGGTGGGGAGATATGAGGTCAGAATTAAAAATGAACTTGTGGGTATGTCTTGATTAACCAATTAAATGTCAGATCTACGCTAGATAGAAAAGTAAGCTCAGAGGGTGGAGGTGGGGGAGTTATTTTATTTTCATGTCATGATAAACCAGAACAGCAGTGGAAGTTTACTCCATCCGTTCTTTCTCTCATTTGGAATATATATATATATATATATATATATATATATATATATATATATATATCTATCTATATATAGATATCTCTATATATAGTAAATGTGTGTGTATGTGTGTGTATGTGTGTGTGTGTGTGTGTGTGTGTGTGCATATATATTTATATATATATACAGAGAATTTCTAATATCGAGAACATTTCACATTGAACATGAAGAAAAATTAAATTTTTTAAAATAATATGAGAAATCTCCACTTTTACCTGAAGACGGTAAATGAGACCAGAAACATTTGTCGTAGTAAAATTATGTAAAAACAAAGCATAATATTTTTCTAATAAAATTTTTTCTAAATAAATCCACATTACAACCAAAAACGTTTGCGGCACTTCTCTTCTTTTTAATATACATACTTTTTCTCGTTGGAACCACTACTTATTTCTTATATTTTTATATATATATATATATATATATATATATATATATATATATATATATATATATATATATATATATATATATATATATAGGGGGATAGCACCTTTAGATTGTGGTTGTAATGATTATAAAATATTGTCTTAACCTAGATCAAAAAGTTTACGACTGAGTAGTTCAATATAAATTTTCACTGAGCCCTTCAAGCCTTGCCAGTTATATCTTTTATGCAAAAAAAGACATTGGTTCTTGTGTTGAAAAGATTCATTGATTTTTTTTCATTTTTAAAATAACGCAAACCGTTTTTTTTATTAAATCGATTTGAAAGGTCAAAATTGCACAAAAAGCGAGGCAAATGGAAATTTTTTTAAGGACATTGTCAAAAAAGCATGAATGTGAATGGATATCACATGTAATTCAAAGAGAAAATAAAATTAGGAAATCAATATAGAAAAATATTTTAACCAAATGTGACTGGTGCTGATCAAGAAAAAATTTTTTCCACTTTAGACGGCCGTGATTTGAGGCATTATTTTGAACTCAAAAAAATGGATATGATATAAAAATTACAAATAATGAAGCCTTTATGTCTTGAAAGATTAAAAAAATCCTACCAAGACATCTGTCGAGTCTTCAAAAAACGGAAACAAATAGGTAGAAAATATATCAATCATTTATTTATATTTATATCTTTTAATTCAACTAGTAAAATGGATAAATTCAAAAAAGAAGGAAACATTTGTTCATAAAGAATCTTTCCTTATAGTTTGAAACAAGAAAACAACAGAATCACAAACAAAGAACTGTAAACCAAATAACAGAAACCACATCACTTGAGGACTTTTCAATATAACAACAAAAAAATGGATATCACATTTAACTAAAAGAGAAAATAATGAAGCCTTAGTGTCTTGGCAATGATCATTTTTTTTGAATCTTGTGGACTGGTGCTACAGAATCAAAAACAAAGAACTGTACCAAATAACAGAAACCACATCACTTGAGGTTTTCAACAGCAGCAACATTTTAAAAATGGATATCACATTGAAGTCAAAGAGAAAATAATGAAATTCAATAATGTCTATGCAATGATATATATAGTTTTTGAATCTTGTGGACATAATTATATACAGAATCACAAACAAAGAACTGTACCAAATAAATGAAAAAAACATCACTTGAGGATTTTCAACATGAAAGGAAACAATTAAAAATGGATATCACATGTAAGAAAAGAGAAAATTTTGAAGATTGAGTGTCTTGGCAAAGATCATCTGGAAAGAAATTTTGAACCTTGGACTGGTGCTACAGAATCACAAACAAAGAACTGTACCAAATAACAGAAACCACATCACTTGAGGACTTTCAACATTCAACAACTAAAATGGATATCAAATGACATTCCTTTCTAAAATAATGAAGCCTGAGTGTCTTACAAAAAAGATCATCCTTCTTTGAACCTTGTGGACTGGTGCAAAGAATCACAAACAAAGAACTGTACCAAATAACAGAAACCACAGCATGAAAAGGACTTTCAACAGCAGCAACAAATTTAAAATGGATATCACATGTAATCTCAAAAGAGAATGGTTTGAAGCCTAACATTAAAAGAAAGATCATCCTTCTTTTAACCTTTGGATTTTCTCAGGAATCACAAACAAAAGAACTGTACCAAATAACAGAAACCACAAACTTGAGGACTTTCAACAGCAGCAACAATTAAAATGGATATCACATTTAAGTCAAAGAGAAAATAATGAAGCCTTAGTGTCTTGCAAAAGATCATCCTTTTTGAACCATGTGGACTGAAAATCTACAGAATCACAAACAAAGAACTGTACCAAATATGGAAACCACATCACTTGAGGACTTTCAAGCAGCAACAACTAAAATGGATATCACATATAAGTCAAAGAAAAAATAATGAAGCCTGAGTGTTAAAAAGATCATCCTTCTTTGAACCTCATGGACTGGTGCTACAGAATCACAAACAAAGAACTGTACCAAAATAACAGAAACCACATCACTTGAGGACTTTCAACAGCAAAAAACAACTAAAATGGATATTGAAATGTAAGTCAAAGAGAAAATAATGAAGCCTGAGTGTCTTGCAAAAAGATCATCCTTCTTTGAACCTTGTGGACTGGTGCTACAGAATCACAAACAAAGAACTGAACCAAATAACAGAAACCACATCACTTGAGGACTTTCAACAGCAGCAACAACTAAAAATGGATATCACATGTAAGTCAAAGAGAAAATAATGAATATAATGAGTGTCTTGGCAAAGATCATCCTTCTTTGAACCTTGTGGACTGGTGCTACAGAATCACAAACAAAGAACTGTACCAAATAACAGAAACCACATCACTTGAGGACTTTCAACAGCAGCAACAACTAAAATGGATATCACAAATGTAATTCAAGAGAAAATAATGAAGCCTGAGTGTCTTGGCAAAGATCATCCTTCTTTGAACCTTGTGGACTGGTGCTACAGAATCACAAACAAAGAACTGTACCAAATAACAGAAACCACATCACTTGAGGACTTTCAACAGCAGCAACAATTTAAAATGGATATCAAATGTAAGTCAAAGAGAAAATAATGACAAAACCTGAGTGTCTTGGCAAAGATCATCCTTTTTTGAACCTTGTGGACTGGTGCCTTTAGAATCACAAACAAAGAACTTTTTTTACCAAATAAAAGAAACCACATCACTTGAGGACTTTCAACAGCAGCAACAACTAAAATGGATATCACATGAAATCAAAAAAGAAAATAATGAATGCCTGAGTGTCAAAGAAAGCCATCAATCTTCTTTGAACCTTGTGGACTGGTAATGAAATCACAAACAAAGATGATACCAAATAAGAGAAACCACATCACTTGAGGACTTTCAGCAGCAACAAAAAATGGATATCAGATTATTTAAAAAAGAAAATAATGAAAAATGAGGTGTAAGCAATTTAAAAAGATCATTTTTCTTTGAACCTTTGGACTGGTGCTACAGAATCAAAAACAAAAGAAAAAATACCAAATAACAGAAACCACATCAATTGAGGACTTTCAACAGCAGCAAAAACAACTAAAATGGATATCACATGTAAGTCAAAGAGAAAATAATGAAGCCTGAGTGTCTTGGCAAAGATCATCCTTCTTTGAACCTTGTGGACTGGTGCTACAGAATCACAAACAAAGAACTGTACCAAATAACAGAAACCACATCACTTGAGGACTTTCAACAGCAGCAACAACTAAAATGGATATCACATGTAAGTCAAAAAAAAAATAATGAAGCCTGAGTGTCTTGGAAAAAGATCATCCTTCTTTGAACCTTGTGGACTGGTGCTACAGAATCACAAACAAAGAACTGTACCAAATAACAGAAACCACATCACTTGAGGACTTTCAAACAGCAGCAACAACTAAAATGGATATCAAATAATAAAATTTCAAAGAGAAAATAATGAGTTGAGTGTCATGAAAAGATCATTCTTCCTTCTTTGAACCTTGTGGACTGGTGCTACAGAATCACAAACAAAGAACATACCAAATAACGGAAACCACATCAATTGAGGACATTTCAACAGCAGCAACAACTAAAATGGATATCACATGTAAGTAAAAGAAAAAAAAAATGAAGCCTTTTGTTTTTGGCAAAGATCATTTCTTTGAACCTTGTGGACTGGTAAAAACAGAATCACAAACAAAAAGAACTGTACCAAATAACAGAAACCACATCAC